GTTGCTGGCCGAGGGTGCCTGGCCTGGCTCTAAGCGTGGGACAGATTCAGCATGTGTGGCCCTGGAGGAAGCTGGCAGCCTGGGCCCCCTCATTCCCACGCCCACAGAGTGAGGACTGAGACTGGGGGTCGCTGGCTGCATGTGAGCGGCCCAGCTGACACTGCCCATCAGAGCAGCCCCGGCTGCCGGGTAAGTCACTGGGATCTGGAGGTTCATCAGGTGGAGTAACAAGTGTCCCTGCGGCCCAGTGTGTGCTGAGGCCCCCACCCGACTCTCTTGCCCTTATAACTGTTCTAGGGCTCTTGGCACCTGCCCACTTGGCCTCCCTGCAGAGCACACCTCCACTCCCTGGTCCCCGAGAGAGCCTCTGGTTTCCCATGCCCTGGAGAGATGCATCATCGTAAGACAACCGATCGGGGGGATGAAGTCAGAGCACGATGTTGCCTGGAAGGGACAGGAGCCTGATGGATAGAGGGCAGGGTGAGCCCGGGGCAGCATGCTGCTGACACACAGTAGGAATGTCCACTGAGCACCGGCTGGGTGTTCTGCTGGGCCCTGCGCAGAGAGCTTCCTGAAACATCTCGCACTTGGCCGAACCGTCCCTGGCAGCAGGTTCCAGCTCCACCACTCTTACAGAAGGAAAGGCTCAGAGTTAAGTAACACGCCCACGTTCCTGGAAGAATCGGAACCTGGGCCCAGACAAGTGGAGAACTTTATGAACTTTATGAAAGGTTGAGAAAAGGCCTAGACATGGAGACCAGCCTTGCCCTGATGAGGCCCCCACGTTGTGGACATCCTCTGAAACTGGACGACACGGGGTCTAGGCTCAGCCCCATCCCACAGCTGACCAAGCTGAGGCTCAGAGATGGCACTGCTGAGGTCACCAAACACGGGGTCTGGTGGCGCTGGGAACCCCAACCCTTTGGCTGTCTTTATGCCCACCCCCTCCCGCAGCACCCCTGTAAACTGCCACAGGGTCTGGCGTTTCCAATTCTTTAATCCTTAAGCCAGAGGCCTCCCCTCTCCTCTGCCTAAGCCTCACCACCCCTCGGCCTCAGCCTGCACCAGCGACACCTCCCTGGGGGCTCCTGTTCAGCCTGCCCACCTGCCTTCTGCTGCTTGGGGCACCTGGGAACCTGGGTAGAAAATGGCTCCAAGACAAGGCTGGCTCTTGGGAAACAAGACACCACACAGGATCATTCCATTTGTCTCCCAGCCTGAGCTGGGATGCCGGGCAGCACATGGTGCGGCGCTAAGAACAGACAGGCAGGCAGCCACAAGGGGAAATCAGCTGGCAGCTTAAAGTTCATTCAGCTAAATGAAGGAGCACCAGCCACCAGCCTGCAGGTCCCAGGCCTGGGAAGAAAATGTGCCAGCGGGACCTCTTGGTCCAGATCGGCTCCTGGCTGGCTGAGGAGGGTGTCCTCCTGGGAAGTGCCTGTTGCTCACGGCCCCTGGGATGCGAGGGCCAGGAGACAGGCTGGCGAGACCATCTGCCAGCTACAGTTCAGGGTCAAGGAGGCACCTGTAATGCTGCCCAAAGTCCCTCTTCCTCAAAGAGCACAGCCCTGGAGCTGTGGGGACTAGCTATAAAAGGTGATGAGATTACAGGAGCCACGGAGGGGTGGTGGGGTGGGGTGGTGGGGTGGGGGCTGTTGGCCCAGCTCAGGGCTCACGAGGGGCCTTCCAGTGCCCTGACTGACCCAGGCTGAGCAGGAAGAGAGAGGCCACCTCTTGGGAGGGCCAGCAGTGACTGTGGGGGTATCTCCATATATCCAGGCCAATGGAGGTACCTTTCCTCTCCCTAGAAAACTGTCAAGAGAGCTAGAAACAGAGACCCCCTGCCCCCCACCATGCTCCCAGCAGGAGAAGCAGAGGATGGGGCTCCACTCAGAGCCTAAAGCTCTGGCAAACCAATGGGGCACATCTCCTTACAACCACCTACGTCCAGGTAGCTCTTTATACAGGGACCCAGGAGGGGTGGACAGTCCTGTGGGTTCGCAAGGGTGTGGGGGAGTGCGGGAGGGGCTATCATAAGTCATAACACACCTGTGACGCACAGGTGCTATGGCACACCTGGCCTCATGTCCTGGCTTGGCTACTTAGTGGCTGTGTGACTGTGGGCAAGTCATTCAACCTTTCTGAGCTGTAGTGTCCTCACCTGGAAAATACCTCTAACTTCACAGGGTCATTAGGGGAACTCAGAAGCCCACTTTCTCTCTCCCTTTGGAAGCCTGATAGTCAATGTTATATACCAAATTTAGAGTCAAGAACACAGGCAGGAAAAAGAAATAGGTACTTCCAAATCTCGGACTCTCCCCAGCTGCAAATTCTAAAAGGAAGCAGCCTGCAGTTCCCCACCCCTCCCGGGACCTGCAGATTCTCTCCTGGCTGGTGATCTAGAGGGTGCTTTCCTACCACCTCCAACATGAATGGTGCCCATATGGGCAAATCATCACCCTGCTCTTAGACACCCCCTCAGAGGTCATGAGGCCCTTTCTGTCTCACAACGGCCCCCTGGAGGGCTACAGATCCTGAGACACTGTCCTCAGATTATAGACACTTGGCAAAGAAATAAGGGCTTCCCAAATAAAAACCACTGGTAAGTGGTGGGCAGGGCTGAATCAGGTTGGGGGACCGCCCTTCTAGCACCCTTTCTACCACACTGGGGATTGTAAACTGGGTTGGGCAGCCTGAAGTATGTCCTCAGGCTGATCGATTAGTGATGTCTGTGCCTGGGATGGTGGGGGTGGGGATCATGAGCGTGGGCACCTATCTGTCATACTGGGCTGGCCACCACCCCCCTTACCATGCTTGGGACGGAGAGAAGGTGCATGCGAGTCAGACTCACGACCTCTCAGAAGGGATTAGCTTCCCTCTCCTTGTTTAGTGGAGGTACCCGAGTGTTCCCTCTCACTAAGCAAGTATCACTGAGGCCAACAGGGCCAGATCCCGTAGGGGAGAGGTGGGTGGAGATAAAAGCCCTTCTCTTCATGAACTGGCTAGCCCCAACAGACTTCTTGAGTCACCTTCCCAGGGTCACCCTGGGACCCTGACGATGGGTCAGCAGGGAATGAAGCCTATGGTAACAGATGCGGGACAAGGGCTGGGCTGCCACCTCCCAGGTAACATTTGATTTTCCTCAATTCTCTAGGGCAGCCACCTTCACTGAGGTGAGGAGCAAAAAGGTATTTCTCTCCAGGGATCCTGAACAGCAGGATGCGGGTGCTGAGGGCAGACTCAGCCCTGTATGAAAAGCTGAGAGGAAAAGGACTCACATATTTGCTTCCCAGGAGGACATCGCTCTCAGAATAGTCGGCAGAGGAGAAAGAGGTGTCCTAGGAGGGAAGGGTGAGCTGGGCACAAACCCAAAAGGAGTCTGGACAGAAGCAAATCCCACATCCGGTTAGGGAGGCCAAAGCTTTGCACTCCTCCGGAGTCCCTAAGCTGGAAGCGGGGCTGACCCAGGGGCAGGGTGCTGCTGTTGCTCTAGGAAAGGAGATCTGAACCCCACCACCCCCAGGTTCTAGATATCGGACAACTGGGTGTGGAGACCCTAGGAGGTGCTGGGGACCCACTCCTGCCTTCCACGAGCTCAGAGACTGCTTCTGTTTGCCTGCCGGCAATACCGTTGCCGTGAGTTGTGAGTTTTGGGTGCCCGAGTCCGAGTACCCACCCTGTTGTAAAAGTGGGGAACAGATCCAGGGAAGAGAAGCAAGCACGGTCCAAGCCATGTGGTGGGTGAGTTCATGCCAATGTTGGCATCGGATCTCTGTGTCGACCTGGCTCTAGGGTCTGGACCCACCCGAAGGGTGGACTGGAGGGTACACCTCCCTCCTCCTTGACCCTGGCCCACCACGAGAAATCTGACCAAGCCCCTCGCTCCTGGTTAAGCCTGATGAGACTCTGAGCCCATGCGAGCTTTCTGCCTTGCACTCAGGTACCTACTTCCCAAAGAGGAGTGGGGAGGACAGATCTGAGGGGCCTGCCTGCTAGCCCAGGTGGAGGAAGAAGAGAAACCCTGACTGTAGAAGGGTGAGCTGTCAGTGCCGAGCACCTGGCACGTGAACCAGAAGAAAGAGGAAGACGTGGCTTTCAGGGGCAGCTACCATCAGGCTCACTGCTGGCGGTGTCCTGCCTGGGCCGTACAGCTCCCATCCCCACACAAGAGCCAGTGGCCACAGGTCAGTCTCCCTTGCCTTGATGCTGCTCACACTTGTGCTAGATGCCGGCCTCCCTGATTTACGCAGCTCTGCTCTCTCACTAAGTGCTGCCTGCCAGGGATGGCACCTGCCCACGCCTCACTGGGCCCCTCCTGGGGTGGCTCTCGGTGAGAGAGGGAGGAAGGAGAGAATCCTCCTAGCTGAAGACAAGCAAGCCACAAACTGCTTGTACCTCCCACTCCTCCTCCTTTTTAAATCCTTAAATCTGGTCATACGGGTTTCCCACACTATTCAAAAGTTTGCCTTTACCAAAGACCTACATGAGTCCCGAAAACATGAGTTTTCAGTAACCAAAATAGACCTGAAGAAGATTTTCGCTTTACAAATGGTGACAGCCTCTTCATTTTACAGCATTTCAGCTTACAAAAGATTTCAAAGGAATGTTCCACCTTCAGATAGGAGAGGAAACCTCGAACTGTTTTTCACCAAGAGAACACTCAGGAGGAACTAGATCTCTCCAGACAAAATGATCTCTCTCACTGGTCTCCTCAGCTGGGGACCCTGAGCTGACAAGGGTGTAGGGAAAAGAAGGCGTGCCCTGGACACGACCCACCACACTGGGAAAAGAGGTGGCCAGGTGAGGCGAGCAGCCCAGCAACTCCACCCGGACACCCTGCTCTGGGGACTGGGTTTTAGGGTCAACACTCTAAAAGGTACCATGTTTCCTGTGTTAGGCTGAACAGGAGGCACAGTCTCCTAAGGACCAGAAGAGGGCTCCAACGTCCCCCTGGCCGGTGGGGAGGCTGGCGCACCCTGACTGTCCCCGGGCTGGCTCACCTCTCCCTTCTTCACGGTCATGGACTGCCGGCGGGGCGTGATCTCCTCGTTGATGCTGGACAGGAAGTTCTGTGAGATACGGAGGGCATCCTGCAGCAGAGGGTGGTCGGGGTGGCTGGAGGGCGTGTGCTTCAGCAAGTCCTGTGTCAGGCAAGGAGACAGGTCAGAGGGAGCCCAGCCCTGGCACCCACCACGGTGTGCAAACTGCAGACACAGGCCAGGCACACCCAGGACAGCTCTCCGACAGGCCGGGGCTAGGCAGGCAGTGCCTGCCGTGCACCATCCCATAAGCAGGTACTAAACCTAGACGGTGTTCCCACAAGTCCATGCTGTATGCAAGCTGCCAACAGGGGCTCCTGCTCTTGGGGTCGAGGGCAGGGTTTGTCCACCTCGGCCCATGACATTCTGGGCTGGACCATTCCTTGTGGTGGGGGCTGTCCTGTACACTGTAGGACATCAGCCCTCCCCAACCCCTGCCTCTACCCACTAGATGCTGGCACTCCTCCTCCTTGGCAGTTGGGATGAGAAACAAAGTCTCCGACATTGCTGCATGTCCTCTAGGGGGCAGAATTGACCTTGTCCAGGACCTCTGGTCTGTGCCAGCTCAGGAGAAAGCACCTGGCCTTCCCTGCTCCTCCTGCTTTAGAACAGAGACTAAACCTCTTTAGAATACAGATGGAAACACCGACTCCTTCTCCACTAGGAATTCAAGTAATTCGTGCAGAAGGTCAACAGCTCCTTGGTTCAGAAAAACGAACTCCCCTTAGCTTACAGATCTCCTCTGCTGAGATGAAACAAGCCTGGAGGAAAGCTCTGGTGCTCATGGTCCCAGAACCCCCATGCCACCTCTGAGTGGTTCTGGCTTCTTCCTGTCAGGACGCTTGGAGAGGGGACAGATAAAGGTCTCTGAGGCTCTGTTCAACAGGCCACCAGCCAGAACCTTCTACACCATGCCTCTCATCTCCCTCTTTATCAGAAGATAGTGAGGAATTATGAAATGTGCACTTAAGGGGCGCCTGGGAGGCTCAGTCATTAAGCGTCTGCCTTTGGCTCAGGTCATGATCCTGGGGTCCTGGAATAAAGATCCATATCAGGCTCCTTGCTTGGCTGGAAGCCTTCTTCTCCCTCTCCCTCATCCTGCTTGTGTTCTCTCTCTCACTGTCTCTTAAGAAAGATCTTAAATAAAATCTTAAAAAAAAAAAAAAAAGATTTAAGAAATGTGCACTCTAGGGAGCCTGTGTGGCTCAGTGGGTTAAGCCTCTGCCTTCGGCTCAGGTCATGATTTCAGGGTCCTGAGATCGAGCCCTACATCGGGCTCTCTGCTCAGTGGGGAGTCTGCTTCCCCGCCACTGCCTCTCTGCCTGCTTGTGATCTCTGCCTGTCAAATAGAAAAAAAAAAGTTCACTCAACAGAATACTACACAGCTTAAATTCTATGGGAAAGAGCTGTTTGGGCTGAAGTGGGACAATCTCCACCACATCATATCAAAAAAAAGCAAAGTGTGGAATGATACATATAGCACGATGCCTTCTGTGTAATCAAAAAAGATGCTCATATATGTCAGTATGTGCATGAAAGAATTCCTGTGGTGGTGGTGGGGAGGAAGCAGGAAAGGAAATGGAAACCTCATGCACTTAGGTGACTTGGTTGTAAATTAACAAAAAAAAAAAGCAGGGCGCCTGGGTGGCTCAGTGGGTTAAGCCTCTGCCTTTGGCTCAGGTCACGATCCCAGGGTCCTGGGATCGAGCCCCGCATCGGGCTCTCTGCTCGGCAGGGAGCCTGCTTCCCGCCACTTCCCGCCACCACCCGCCCCCCCGCCTACTTGTGATCTCTGTCAAATAAATAAATAAAATCTTTAAAAAAAAAATGCATGTACAACTTGCTCTAAATATAAGTGAAGAGGGTCACCTGGGCAGTAGTACTAGGGGCCAGTTTCATCTTCCCTGTTGCCTTCAGGAGCAGCCCCAGTGAGGCAGGCCCTCCCCACGCTCCCTCTCCCCAGGCTGGGAGGCAGCGGTCATCCTTGGGGCCCTGCAAGGCACCTACTCTCAGTACCCCGACCCCATCTCCTTGGAGGCCCTTCTTACTTGGGACAGGATGCTCCCACCTGGCACCTCCTCTTCAAGAGCACCCAGGCCCCCCTGTGAACCTGCTTTGTCCCCCCCTCACACCCCTGTGAGCCCCTCATTTCTAACATCATCAATAAAGGTGTGTGGCAGGAACAGGGGTAAGGGGTGGGCAACACTGACGAACATCAGAAGCCAAGAACCCCAGGGTTGAGACGGTCCCAGGTGGGGGACTCACATGCAGGACCAGCGTGCTGCGGGTGACCCGGTCCACAGGCTTGTAGAGCAGGGCTGCAGAGAGATGGGCAGGGTGAGAGGTGGCCATGCACGGAGAAAGCAGCCCCAGACCACCCGCCTGCCTGTCCTCGTGGGAAGGGCTTGGACAGAGAGAGCAGCCCTGGGAACCAATCCATAACAAGCGACAAGCACCAACTCAGAGCACCTAGAAGATGGAGCCCATGGCTTGGAGCTTTCGGTCTGTGACATTAAATGCTGAGTGCAGAGCTACTGGTCAGAACCCAAGCTGACGTCCCTCCCCCTGGAGCTGGGGAGCCCATGAGCACCTGGTGCACATGGGCTGATGAGGGTCCCAATCATGGCAGGAGACCTGCTCTCTGGCCCGGAGGGTCTCCTGGGAGCAGACCAGCATGTTACTCACAATGCCTATCCCTGCGCAGTTTGGAGCCCCGACTTTGAGGACAGCAGAAACTTACTCAGGTGCCGACACAGTTCTTGGCTTTGTAAGTGTTTTCAGACACCTGGCCTCCAGCAGCACAGGAGCCCTGGCCAGCCTTGGCAGCCCCTACTTCTCCATCAGGACGGCGAGCCCAGCCCATGACGGGCACAGATGCACACGTGTGTCCTGACATATGTCAGGTGCGTTTCCTCACGGGACTCCCACCACTACCGTAAGACATGCATCGTTAGCCCCATTTTACAGATGAGAAGCTGAGACTCAGAGCACGGTGAAGCTCTGCTTGGCAGAGCCAGGTCTGCTGTTTTCTGGAAGCGCAATTCTTCATGCTATCCTAACAACTGCAACCAAGAAGTGATCTATCAGTGCTGAGGCTGCTTTCCGCCCAGAGTGAAGAGGCTGGATGCACGGGCCTGAGGGAGCCTGACAGCTCTGGCTTTCCCCCTGCTTGGCCATGTAGGACCTGTGGTTCCAGCTCAGTTCCTTTCATTCTAAATCTGTCCTGTCACCTGAAAAACGGGAACATAAAGTCCTCCTTACAGGGCCGTTGGGGACAACATGATGACATTTTAAATGCCCAGCAGTGCCTGATTTATGGGTGTCTGCAAACTCCTACCGTCCTTCCTGGTTGCTACTGGTGGGGGCAGGCTGGTCCTGACCATGTCCTTCACCACCCAGCACACCCAGTGCCACTTTTCCCCTGTCTCCGCTCTCACTATTAGAAGTCTGGAACAGCAAAGTCACCGGAGGGTGACCCAACGGGGTGCCCTGTTTGCTTTTCTAGCAAATGCCCCATCGGCTCATGGCAGCTGCCCCCATGGGCAGCACGAAGAGGCCTCAGCCCAGAGAACTCACTTTCCAAAGAGTTCTTGGTCGTCTGGTCCTTGGCATCCTTGTTGCTTCTGGCTCTCAGGTTCTGCAAAGAGAAAAGCACGTTTTTACACGGGACAACTGAGGCAGCACTGAAGTGGCAGCAAGTCCAGTGGCCAGGATCCCAGAAAACTCACCCTTCTTTCACTGCACAGAACCTTAGGGGAGGCAAGTCTTGGGGATGTGTGTGTGTCCTGGACCAAAGCATGAAATACAGGGTGGGCGGAACACAAGGCCTGCCCTGGGCACCATGGTTCACCTGGGATTGCTGACATTCAGGGCCAGAGATCTGGATTTGCTTACTGTGGGGGTCTGTCCTGGACATCACAGGACATGGGGCAGCACCCCAGGCCCCCACCTATAGCAGCAGCATGCCCCCTCCTGTTGTGACAATCAAAAATCCCCAGGCATTACTCAGTCGTCTGCTGAGGACAAAATCACCCCTGGTCAAGAGCCTCAGACATCCAGAAGCCTATAAAAACAAGGCAACCACAGTGTCCTTCCTTAATGCACAGAATCGCTTTCTCAGAGAAGTTAAACAGTGTGCAACAGGCTGGAGGGCTGGAAAAGCACTCACCTCTGGAAATGGCCAGGGCAGGACCCCTCACTTCTGAGACCCACGCTGGATTCCCCCCCTCCCACCCTCTCCTGACTTCCCAAATGTACAGGGAGATCTCGTAGGTTTGCTTCTGGACCACCACAAAGAAGGGAGTATTGCAAGAGAGCAAGACCAGTGAATTTTTTTTTTGTTTTCTAGGCCCTAGAAAAATTATCCTTACAGTATACTACAGTCTATTAAGTCTTCAAGAGCACTAGGTCTGAAAACAATGTATCTACCTTAATTAAAAAATACTTTATTGCTAAAGAATGCTAACTATCATCTGAGCTCTCAGGAAGTCATATTACCACTGTTCATCACCAAAAATAGAATAACAAGGGACGCCTGGGTGGCTCAGTTGGTTAAGCAGCTGCCTTCGGCTCAGGTCATGATCCCAGCGTCCTGGGATCGAGTCCCACATCGGGCTCCTTGCTCGGAGGGGAGCCTGCTTCTCCCTCTGCCTCTGCCTGCCATTCTGTCTGCCTGTGCTCGCTCTCTCTCCCTCTCTCTCTGACAAATAAATTAAAAAAAAAAAAATAGAATAACAATGGAAAAGTTTGAAATGTTGCAAGAATTATCAAAATGTGACACAGCGCGAGCAAATGCTGTTGGAAAAATGGCACCGAGAGACTTGCTCACGGTTGCTGCAAACCTTCAGTCTGTTAAAAAATGCAGTATCTGCAAAGTGCAATAAAGCAAGGCAGGCCTGTAGTTTCTAACGAACAGGCTCTATGGTCCCCAGGAGGAGAGCAGAGCTTTTTGGTGGGTAGGTCATGTTCTCCCACAACTGCACCAAGGCATCCTCGATTGGGTCTAACGTACCCAGAGCAACGAGGATGTATGATCCCTGTGTACCTGAAATCACCTCCAGGAAGAAGCTATGGTTAATCCCACTACCAGGCTGCTGAACAACAACGAAAACCAGCATGGGGACAGGAAGGGGCTCAGAAATGGCCTTCCCAACCTCTCGTGCTATAGTCCATGTCTCATGACTAAAAACGATGGTATTTACAGCTCACTGGGGCCAAACTCCACAATGCACTTTGGTGCCTCTCTTGAGAGTTGAACGGTCCTCACCGTGATTATTCGTCTATACGTCTGCCTCAGCAGTTCGCAAGGGGTGCAGGGGTGTGTGTGAGGGGGTGCGAGAGCAGAACACAAGCCCCTGCAAAACTCAGGGTCCATGCTCCCGTGAGCCTGGAGGAGCCCTCACACCACGTGCCCCTGGGCCGCACCATGCACACTGTGCAGAGGTAGGTCCAGGAGTCCTGCTTCACGGAGACTTACACATCTGGCTTAATCCCACAGTTCTCAAACTTAACTTGACCCAGAGGTCCTTTGCCAGAACTCTATCTCTCGTGTGGGAGCTGGCATTCCATGAAATCCCAGCTTGGGCAACTCTAGTCTAAGTGGACGCTGCTCTGGCTCGTTTTCAGGATCAGGAGCAAATGAAGGGCCGCCGCTCCACTGCTCCCCATCCTAGAGGTGACCATCCAGTCCCCACATCTGAGCTCCGATCCCTGGAGTGCAACCTCTCATGGCCTGCTGCTTGTTTCCTTTGGTTTAGTTTTGCTCTGTGTCTCTGGGTCTCCTTCAAAAACACGGTGGAGAACCCAAGTGGATGCCACCTCTAAGGTACAAGCTTCACGGAGGGCCAGGGAAAGCTGTCTCCCTCCCAGCACCCCTGCCTCAGCTCAGATTCCACGGGACCACGTGATGCCTGGATGGTGTCTCACCATTGCTTCCTCCTTCCTCTATAGGAACCCGTCTGGGTGGACTTGAATTTGGCCCCCTTAATTATAGCCTGCTCTTAAAGGATTAGGTCTCTAATTTGCCAAGGTCACTCTGGATTCTGCACCAACACCCCAGCTGTTAGGGGTAGTGGGCTTGCTAAGTGAATGAGCTCAAGAAAGGTATGGTCTCAATGCTCTAGGCAAAGCAGAGCAGAGAGGGAGGGACATCTGGAGACAGCCTAGATAGAACCCTGGGTGCATGTAGCCTGTTACCAGCAGCACCAGGCAGGGAGTGCCTGCCCCCACAGGCTCTGGAGGAGCAGCATGGCACCCATTGCCACCATGAGATAATCAGCACCCACAATACCCCCCCTCATGACAAATTACAAAATAGCACAAAGCCCCCAGAACAAAGCCAGGTATGACAGTCAGGGTATGACTGTCTCTCAGCAAGGGAGACCCCACTCAGTACCTATTTCTAGTTTCCAATTATCTATCTTATGCTAATTTCTCTCAGGGACTTTTTCCACCCAGAATCCTTGCTTAGTGGAGGGAAGGCAAGTCAGAGCTCCGAGGAGCTGGAGCCATCACAAGTAATGACAGGCCCAGAAAGAGGAAAATGTCACCCAACTGCACAGGGCAGACACAGGATGTGGAAAATCCCCTCCAGAGCCTGGAGAGGCTGGTGCTGCAGGTTCTGGTCCAGGGGTGGCCTGCTTGTTCTCTCTGTATCCGAAGTGCTCTCTAGAGGCCCCTCATGCTAACACTCCAGGGCTCAAGGTTTCAGTGCTCGTGGAGCTCCAGCCTGGAGCTTTCTTCAGTCCCACACCCCTTATTAGTTGCTCAGCCTCCCCGGCAAGCGACATTCCTCAGAGGAACAGAGCACAGCACAGCTCCTAGGCTGCTCTCTAGTGACCAGGTGCCTCGTCAGTCCAGGACCCTCACATCCAGACCTCCGCTAATGAGACAGAACTATGGACACTCATTACTGCACACAGATGGCACAAGAGAGTGTATGTCTGGGGCACTGAGCAGAGCCCCAGAATTGGGCCCTGGCCCTGGGGGACACAGGGCTCTTGTGGGGCTGCTCCTCCTGTGTCCCCCACACACAGGGCTGACAGAGCCAACCCAGAAGCCTCTGGAAACAGAACTTGGTCTGGTGTGCCTTGTTCTCGTGGGTCATGATGTACCAACGACCAGCCCACGTCCCACCCGGGGGAGGTGGAGGGGTGCACCTGTCTGAACAGTGTCACGAGTACCTCAGAGATTTCTGCAAACTGAGCGTTGGCCTGACAGCACTTCTCAGCCGTTTCCATGGCAACTCCGTAGTTGTCTACGAAGGCTCGGTACACACCCAGCTGGCTGGCCTGCAGGGAGGGAAGGAACAGAGTGTGGGACAGGTGCAGGGCAGGTGCCACTGCTTCTCATCTTTCTGAGAAATGGGCTTCTGTGCACAGTTCTGGAGAAAGCCCAGGGGCAGCAGACAGCACAGAGCTGCAGTCACCTCACCTCTTCCTTGCTGTCGCCTCCCACCTGCTTCCCCTCCCCACGCACTGAGCATGTTCCCCCTTCCAAGTGACACGTTGAGAAGTGACTCACAGCCCTGGGCAGGTAACGGCTCCCTTCCACAGCTGCTGATTCCTCCCACTCTACTCACTTACACGGTGCCACCAGCACCATGTAAAATGCACCGTCTAAAATGTAAGGCTGTCCCTGAGCACGGATGAGAGTCTACATAGGTGGGGTGGGAAGGCACCTTCTCATTCTGGCCGCAGAAGGCCGTAGTGGACAGGGAGGTTGGCCCCCGGCCTGGGGTGGCCACAGTGCTCCACTCTTGTCCGATCCCTTCAGACACATAAGGCCCATGCAATCTAGCTGGCCTTGGAGAAGAGGGGCTCCCACTATCTAGACATGAGCCCAGCCCAAACCTGGCAAGGGGTCCAGGTACCACAAGCCACACCTGGCATATGGGAGACGTGCTGGCTGCCAGCTGCAAGGCGAGAGACATTTTATTTTTTATTTTTTAAAATTAATTTATTTTTAAAAATTAACATACAATGTATTATTTGCCTCAGGGGTACAGGCCTGTGAATCATCAGTCTTATAGAATTCACAGCACTCTCCATAGCACATACCCTCTTCATTGTCCATCACCCAGCTACCCTATCCCTTCTCACCAAGGCGAGAGGCATTTTGTCTTTTGTCAAATCAAAGGTATTAATAGAGGATCTCTTCACATACCCTCCTGATCAAGATACCCAACTGAGTGACAACTTCCATGGGTGTGTGGGGGTGGGGGGGAAGCTGCCACCACCTCTGGGCCCCAGGTCACCTTCAGAGGCAGCTGAGGGAAAGCCAGCCCTCATCTTGTACCAGCACAGCCAGGCCTGGGGAGGGAAATGGAGGACCCCGGCGACCTGCTAGCCAGGATTTCCCACTGCAGACCAAGGGCTGGAAGCCTAAAGCTTTAGCTGATTCTGGTGTTTGTTCTGTGCTGAATCTGAATTTTGTTTCTATATGTATTTGCATTTATATTGAATTTTATGTTTCTTCAGATGACAGTCCCAGATGCTGGGTAAGCCCCTGGCACGGTCTGGTCTCTGGCTCTGCTCCCTGTGGGGGATGCATGGAGGCCCGGCCTGGCCCCTCCTGCACAAATCACCCTGACTGGTCACTCCATCTCCAAGTGCCAATCAGGACATTAGTCAGACCCAGAGCACTTCCTTTTCTCCCTCCTCTGTGGCTCACTGAATTCCTCCCCCACAATGAAGACCTGCTTCAGGCACTGTACTGTCACCACAGCCGCAAATCACTCAGACACAGTGGGGCCAGCAGCAGGAGAGATACACAATAAATAAGTCAACAAACACGTCATACAGCAGATGTCTGAGAACAGAGCTGGGGTTAAAAGCTATGGTGCTTTTTTTTATCTGCTTCAGATAATGTGGTCAGGAGCCCTGAGGGGACATTACTGTCGACAGGCGTCACCTCAAAATTCCTACGTTGAAACCCTAACTACCGGCACCTTAGAATGCGACTGTGTTTAGAGATAGGGCATAAGAGGCGATGAAGTTGTCAGGGCGGGTCCTAATCCGGTATGACTGGGGCTCTCATGAGAGATAAATACACAGACCGAGGGACCCTCGTGAAGACACAGGGAGACTGCTGCCATCTGGAGCCAAGCAGAGAGGCCTCAGGAGAGACCAACCCTGCCAGTGCCTTGATCTCGGACTTCCAGCCTCCAGAACTGTGAGGAAATAGATTTCTGTTGTGCAAGCCGCCCAGACGAGCAGCCCTAGCAAACTGATATGAGGTCTAAGAGAGGAGAACCCCTTCCATTACTTCTTCTCCCTTTCCCAAAGGAGCTCGCATCTTCCATGTGGCTTTTGCCAAGTGCTAAGCAATCTAATCTCACGCTTTCAGCCAACCCAAATCGGAGCCAGACCAGTAATGGGATCAATGGCGATCATGTGCCTCCTGATACGAGGCACTGAGGACACAGCATCACTGCTGTGGTTTATTCAGTTTTTGCCAGAAATGCAGAACCTGAATCTATTCCTGAGGAAACCTCAGACAAGCCCAAACTGGCCAGTACCCTTCAAAAAAATGTCAAGGCCATGAAAGACAAGCAAAGGCCAAGGAACTTGTATAGCCCGAAGAAAACAAAAGAGATGTGAACACTGAGTCCATCTTGTGAGCTAAGATTGGATCCTGAATCAGAGAACGCAGGCGGCTACAAAGAACGTGATGGGGGCGCCTGGGTGGGGCAGTCTGTGAAGCGTTCGACTCTTGATTTTGGCTCAGGTCATGATCTCAGTGTCCAGAGATAGAGCCTCATGTTGGGCTCTGTGCTCAGTGTGGAGCCTGATTGAGATTCTCTCTCTCCCTCTCCCCTACCCCTCCCACTCGTGCTCTCTCTCTTAAATAAATAAATGAATATTAAAAAAAAAAAAAAAAAGAACACGATGGCTAACTTGGGAGAAGTCTGCTTATGGACTGCGACAAAGTAACAGTGCCTCACCACTGTGGAAGTTCCTGAATTTGATCATTGTACTCTGTGGTTATGGAAGAGCTTGTCTTTATTTTTATCAAATACACAATGACGTATTTGGGGTAAAAGGGCAGATCTATCTGCAAGCTATTTTCAAACTATTCAGGACACGTGTGTGTGCGCGCGCGTGTGTGTGTGTGCACGCCTATATAAAAATGAGAGAGGAAAAGATAAAACAAACTTGGCAAAATATTACCAGTGGTGGCTCTGGCACATGGGAGTTCTTGAACTATTTGTGCACCCCTCTGGAAGCTGGAAATGATTAGAAAAACAAAAGAGTAGCCTGACAAAATTTGAGCCAGGAACAGACCCCAAGCAGTGGCACTAAACCCATCCATTCCCGCAGGAAGGGGAGGCAGGCTCACAAATCCCAGGGCAGAGGGGAGGTGCCACGGCTGGGGCAGGGCATCACAGGCTCCTTCTGTCCCAAGACTTACCCAGCAGGGGAGCTTACTGGGGTGACACGGAGCTGACCCCGCCGTGCCGTCAGAAAGGGACAAGGGTGCCCCTACACCCAGCTGGGCAGCACACATGAACACTCTTCATGGGCCTGGTTCCCGGGACGTGACATCCCGTGGCCGCCCCACCTCTCTCCCTAGTCTGCTGCAGTGTCTGACCCACAAAGGTGGCTCAAGGACACCGGGGAAACCAGAAGAAAATTCCCAAATTCTGGTGTTCATCGGACTATGTCAATTTGAAAGACAAGTTTCTGAGCGATGTCAGAATGTTATTTGGGAAAGCGTGTTGGGTGCAGTTTCTTCTCAACAACATGATTCTCGAGTTCTCAGGAGGGATGCAGGCTGAGCCAAATCTACTAGGTTTAAACCTCTGGGCACTGTACACAGAGAGAAACGGGGGAGGGGGCACTTCGGAGATGGTGGGGCTACATCAACATGGCCTCCCATTTTCTGGCCAGAGGAAGAAGGGTCTCATGTGGTAGGAATCTGAATAAAAAAAGTGAAAAGTTTCCTGTGTTTCTTACATCTTCGCTCTGGCCTGGAGTCCGAGGTGTCTGCAGCCCAGGGCAGTGGAGAGAGGGGACTGCCAACAGGAAGGCCACACCTTGGAGCAAAACACTCAAGCCCAGGTGTGAGCCAAGGCAAGGACTGGGTCTGGACCAGCTGGGGGTCTGGGCAGCCCAGTGGGGGCGTGCTCTGCCTATGACCTTGGGCCACCTCTACCCCTGGAGGACTGGTTTCCCTTGGGAGGGGGAAGGCTCCAGGTCAAAAGCATGTGCTCAGGGGGCCCAGACTGGACTCAGCTCAGGTTAGGGATCCTCAGAGGGAGAACCTCCGTCACAGGGGTCTGCCTGGCACCTGCCTTCAGTGACACTCCCAGGACAGCTGCTGGGCTCTCCTACCCAGATGCCCCTCTTCCACAGCCTCCTCCTGGAAAGACTGACTGGCTCCATGCATCAGACCCGCAAAGGAGGCAAGAGCTCCTTTCCACATATGTTGGAACCACACATGTTGGAAGACAGACACTGATTGGACAGCTCTCATCTGAGTTTTCTCCTTCCTCCCACAAGTGCCTTAACTGTTTCCTCCCACTGGACAAGTTTTACCTGACCCACGTCTTGGTTGAAGAAGCACTTTGAGCCAATTCTTGTCCCAGATGCGGCCTGGCTTGTGACAACCTCTTTCATCTGATTGCTAGGTTTTATAGGTCCCACTGAGTTTTTAAAAGCCATATCCTTGGTTTCTTGGATCCTGTAGTCAGCAAAGGGCCACAGAGGCCCTTGACCTGCCTTCACAGTAGGCCCTTTCTGTCCTGAGAGGGTGCTTCTGCCTCTGGGACCTGAACCAGGACCCACAGCCACCTCTGCCAAAAAGATTCCTCATCCATACGGGCTCAGTAAGCCCTTTCAGAAATATTTCTTCTGTCATCCAGCCAGCATCACCTGTGTCCTTCAGGTTATGGCCCCTGAAGGCAGCAGGAAAAGCACTCCTTTTGGAGATAACCCGATGTTTCAGTCCCAGCAAGTTACCCACAGTTCCTCTATCTTCTCACCCCCACAGTGGTAAGGATAGGAGCTGCCTTATCTGGCTGCCTTAGCTCAGGTGGGACGGGCACCACTCCTCACACCCCACGACTTGGAGTCAGACCGCCTCTCATTGCGAGGCTGTGCCTGGGTCCAGGCTCTGCAGTCACAAACCACCTGACCGGAAGAACCAGTCCTGATTTCTACAAGCTATGAGGGTGTCATGCTCAAAGTCAGCGTCAAATCGCCTCCGGGTTCTGAAAACAGCCGGTGGTAGGAGCTAAGGGTCACACAGCAGCTGGTCTCCCGGCCCCACCCCAACCCTCCAGGGCCCTCCTTCAGGCTCTAGGGCCACTTTTTCCACTGCTTTAATATTTACTGACCATGTCTCTCCTCCATAGGCCACTTAAAAAAAAAAAAAATCTCCAGGGGCGCCTGGCTGGCTCAGTCGGTACAGCGTGTGACTCTTGATCTTGGGGTCATGAGTTCAAGGCCCACATTGGGTGTGGAGTCTACTTAAAATAAGGGTTCTGTGTCCCAGAGCCCTTGGCAACACACACCAGCAGGTCAAGGCAGAGGCTTGACCCCTGCAGAGCCGTGAACTCCGGGAAGGCGGCTGTGCACCTGTTCCGAGTCACTCACCAGCTTCTGGAAGAGATCACCCACTCGCTGCTGGTGGCTCCACTGCTGCACGCGGGGGGAGAGCCCATCATAGAACTCCTTGTGGATCTCGTAGAGCTCAGGCACTTTGAAGAAGATGGTCTCGATCTGCTGGCTCGTCAGCACAGGCTGAGAGGTGGTGGCTGCAGCCTTCAGAGGCTTCATGGGCTGGAAGAGGGCGCAGGAGAGGCAGCAAAGGTGACCCGTGAGGGTGGCACTGATGAGAGGGCTCACCATTTTTCAGGTGCATGGTACGACCACAGAAAATCACGGTTATGTGCCATATGAGCTTTTCTTTTTAAATTCCCACTAAAAATAAAAATTCAAAGCCAGCTTGCTTTGGCACCTGTCTTACACTTGTGTCCACCACCCCACGGGGAGGTCCAGCTTCTACAGAGGTGGAATGACCCTCCAGGGAGGGTGGGCCGCCTTCTGACTGGTGCCCTGGGGTCTGGGACCTGGCTCAGCCCCTACTCCCTCCTCACCAGCAGCAGGGCCTCCAGGTGGCTCAGGTAGGTCTCCTCGCTAGCCAGGATTCCAGACAGGACCCATTTCCTCATTTCCATGCCCTTTTCCAAGTCCAGCTCGCTCTGCAGGAGAAACAGACTAAGGTTAGACCTGGGGGATGACGCCTGAGGTGGCCCCTCTCAAAGAGGAAGGTCTGTTTATTAACAGCCTAAGGCCAAGCCTCTGGGAAAGTCTCTGTGGGGAAATAAAGGGAGGCATGGGAGCCTTGCCAAGCCCACCACTCGCTCATGGCCACTGTAAATTCTGGAGGGTCACCCAGCAAAGCTGAGGGCCACCCTTGGTCTGACAATGGGAAACAGGCAGTGTGAAGTGGAACAGTCAGGGCAAGGCCCCCCGCTCTGTGGTACTTTGTCACAGTGGCCCAGTAACCCAACACCAATGCTGATGCCAAAGGCAATGAAGTCTGCTCTGTGACTTCCTGCCCACTCCCCCCAATGCACTCCCCGACCCCCAGCAAGGGACTCGGTATCAGAGACGGGCTGTGTCCACAGCCCGCCCATGTTCTGATGGGCCCCACTGTAGTCCACAGAAAGTGACAGACATCCCTGCCTGTTCTGCCACCAGTTTCCCACCTGCGGATGAACATGAGCAACCACACCGCGGCAGCCCCTGGGTGTAGAACCAGAGGGTTATCCCTGCGGTCCACTTTCCCGAACCACTCAGGGGAGATCAATGATCTGGGGCAGGCTCCTGACTCAGCCCTGCTGACATCCAGGGCTGAAGGATTCTGTTTCGGATGCTGGGGGGCCTTGTAGGGTGCTGGGCAGCATCCCCTCCTACCCCTGGCTGGGACAGCCACAAATGTCTGCAGATGTTGCTACATGTCCTCTGGGGCCAAATCGCCTCTACGTGAGAACCACTGGGTTCCAGGAAGGACCTAAAGCCAGCTCAAGCTTCATGGTGTCTCTAAAAAGCCTAGAATCAGAACCCCCCAGCATAGCCCCTCCGTGTGCCCCCAACCCTGCTGCCCCTTCCACTTCCCTGGCCTGGCAGAAGAGAGGCACTGTGTGGTATAGATGGCTGGCCCAGGGGGAAGCACCCCGGGACAGGAGTTGGGGGACAGGGCCACAGAGCAAGGCCTGCCCGGGGAGCACCATGGTCTTAGGCAACTGTGCCCCTGCCCTGGGCATCAGCTACCTGGGTGTAAATTGGGGAAGGAAGGCCTGATCCCCAAGCCCCATCTGCTTCTGCTTTCTGGGTCCCTGGAGCTTGTATCACATCCTCACTGCCCACTTGGACCATCCCAAAAGTCTTCCTGAACCAGCACTTTGCTCTGGGAATCCCTTAGTGTGCATGAGCTAGGTGCCTGCATATGTGTGTACATGTGTGCACGCCCAAGTGTGTATGTGGACTCAAGCATGTGTAGGGGGCAGCTACCATGATCATGGCTAAGCATCACTCCAGGGAAAGAACACTCAGGTCCCGTCCCACTCAGAAGGCCCTCTCCCCCAGGGCACACTGGGCAGTGGCTCCACAGGCAGAAAGCTCCAGGGCATGCCGTGCCTGATCTTGGAACTTCCTGTGCCAGCATAGTGCCTGGAACACACAGGTGCTCCGGGAAGACACAATGAACACACAAACCCACGAAGGGATCCAGAACTCCTGCCTGGGGCCTCCTTCGGGCTGTATCTCTGAGAAGCTCTGAGTGCTCCTTCTGGAACCCCTGTGTGTTTGACAAGCCAGTGCCAGGATCCAGAACTGTCAGCTTAGCCCGTTCCAGGGCCTGGGGTGCAGCACGCGGTGCACGGACATGCAGGGTAGGGGACCCTGACACCTCTTTTCATCTCAGCCCACTGAGGTCACAACATGAATGGGGGCAGCATGCTGGAGAAGCAGCTCTCAGCTACCCCTGAACATGCTTCCCACTGTGTCCAGGTGCCATTTGTGCCCCAAACAAGGGAAGATGTAGAGGTGAAGGGGACAGCGGGCTCTTTGAGCAGCAGCAGGCACCCACCCCGCCCTGCTGTGTCCTAAGGAACAAACCTGCTACTGTGAGCACGGTGGGGGTGCGGTGGGCAGGGTGGGGGGATACGGGACACGGAAGAGCCCCACCCAGCACGAGATGCCGGTGCTCACGTGGGTGGCAGTGTGTCTCATTCCCACCCACACAATTTGGAAAGCTGGGAGGAAAAAGAGCGCAGGCAGGATGGCGCCAACACCAGCTCTCCCCGTTCCGAAGGGCGTGGTCAGCTCAGGGGACCGTCTGGCCTGGGGAATGTGCTGGACTGGGGAGAAGACATGGGTGCAGACACCTCTCTGTGGACCAGGAATTATCTCCTGAGCTCCGGCACGGGGCTGGGGGCTGACAAGGATGGCTCAGAAGCCAGCCAACTGCACCTTAAAGGAAAGGGCAGGAAAGAAACACAGAAGATGAGGGAACAAAGGGGAGGGCCAAGGCCAGGGTTATTTATAACCCTGCTCTGGGCTCGTGCCAGTTCTGGAAAGGGCACATGAATCCAGTCAGGACCATGATGGTAGGGAGAGCTTGGTGGAAAGGAAGCCAGACGAGAAGGGCAGCTGGAAAAAGGCAGTGGCCAGCTGGAAGGCTGGCCTTGTGCTTCTGCCGGGGAGGGGGTAGGGGGTAGAGAAGGAACAAGCCACACAGATCTGGGGCCGAAAGAGCGGATAAAAACAAACTGGGCATGACAAGGGGGAAAAGGCTGACAGAGGGACCTGGGTGAAGAGAACCACCACCAGATTCACAAGGGCAGGAGCTGGAACTGAGTGGCAGGAGTATGGATGGCAGGGCAGAATTCAGGGAATACACTTTACCCCCAGCCCCAACGTGGCGGGGGTGGGGGCAGAGTGATCAGGGTATAAAACCCCGGCTGTGGAAGGGATGGACTGCTCCCAGCTGGGAGCTGGAAGCCAGTTTGCTGGACAAAGGGACACTTGTCTTTCTCTCTGGCAGGGGCCATGCCTTCACTGGCAACAGGGCTGGCAGTCGTCCTGGAGTCCAGCCAGCAGAGGGCCAGTGGCTGGCCTCTGCGTAAGAACCCGAGCTTGGGGAGCCCCAGAGTCCTCTGAAGAAAGAGTGCCAACATCCAGTATGATTTGTGCCTGCCCCTGGATAAACCACCCTGCGAGGGCTCTCAGGAGGAAGAGGACAGGTGGGCTGGCCAAACTCCTGCTGTCCCCAGCTCTGCCAGGAGGACAGGTGCGAGCAAACAGTATCCCTGGATAAGCCAGGACCCAGAGCTGGGCAGTGCGGCCAAGATGAGCCACAGGAGTGCAGGCATGACTTATCCTCCTGTGCTTGATGCAAAGCCTCGCTGAGCACCCATGCAATCGAAGCGTGATTTGAACCACTGACCTAACCACTGAATCACAAAAGTGAATGGACTTGTGGTTGCTCAGATGAAAGCTCAAGTCAGAGTTACAACTTCTGTTCCATGAGTGCAACGGGTGACCAGATACACTCAGTGTGGTGATGGCTGGTAGCAAAATTATAGGAGTCTTCAAACACTCCTAAGCCAGCATTTACCTCCTTTATAAAAAATGCAAATATGACTTCTGAGTAGGAGTGACTGATTGAACATGTGTGTTTACTTTGGCTTCCTTCTTAAAAAAAAAAAAAAATAAAAAAAATAAAAAAAAAAATCAACCCCCCCCCCCCACCCCCAGCCAAAAACAAAACAAAACCCTCAAAGGGTCCACGGGCACGGCCACTTCTGCAAAGCAACAGTACACAAGTGTGTATCTGTTTTCTCAGCCCCAATACGCCCACGAGAAGCCCCTGGCTGGTGGCCCATCCAGCTTCACCACTCCCTGAAGTGTCCCTGAACATGAGAAGTGTGGGCTGAGGTGTTATCAGCCCCTTCATGCTGAGGTCTAGTGCTTCCGGGCCTACCCCTTGCTGGTACCCTGCAGATAGGACCTGGCAGGTCATTGTGGGAGCAGAGTCGCACAGTGTGTCCCAGAGCCCAGTGGGCAGGGGCTGCTGGACAATGTCGGCTCCCCTCTCTGCGCCTCGATGTCGCCCCTTATAAACAAATAGAAGGGATGATGTCGGGACTCTCCCGAGGACCCCAGGAAGGACTGACTGTGCTGACGTGGCAAACCATGGGCCCTGCTTCCTCAGGCCACAGGATGGCAGCTGGGGATGAAGCCAGACCCTCACCCCTCTCCCTGACACTGCTGAAGGAAGGTTACTTGCTAGCCCACAGCTCTGTGCATAGCTTCCAGGAGTGTCCATGACACTGCCTCAGGTCAGTAATGCCAGCTTTGCCCTCCTAGGGGGGAGAAGCAGTGGTCATTAAAATGGCCTACTGCTGTTCTTCCTAGCAACCCCAAAGGGCTTGCTAACACATATCCCCACCTGGCCATGAAGAAATGGTGGATGTGTGCCTCGCGGCTCTTGCCTGGGGGGGCAGCCTGCCCTCTCCTGTAGCTTCTGTCCCCATCTGGGATCACACAGTCATCACTCAAGGAAGAAATAGCTTGGTCAAGATGGGGAGGTACCTCGGAAAGCGCAGGGCTGGAGAAAGTCATAGGTAACCTTGGTCACCAGTACCCAGATACTTCCCACAGCACCCTAGGCAAGGTGGTTCCTGGCCTCTGCTGACTCCCTACCTTCCTCTGGGGGCAGGCGTTCATAGAACAGACCTGTTATCCAGGAGTTCACTGAGAAGGGTCCCTAGAAGGGACTGAGCTCAAGCTCAGCAGAGGGAGAGGAGCACCCCCTGGGAGGGTAGGGAAAGTTGAGCAGGGATTCCCCTGAACCCAGCTGGTTGGGATAGGGAACCTGGGGTCTCAAGACTAGCATGCTGGCTGTGGGTGCTAGAAAGTGACAGCTATCTTCTTTGAACCAAAAATAAAAAATGAAAGAAGAAAGTCTTACTGTCTGGGCACTGCATGGGCAAGGAAACCAGTAAGTCAAAACCATGTCTATCTCCAGGGCAGTGGAAGGTGCCTCCAAGCACCTAACCAGAGGGCTTCTGGAACAAGGCTACACAGCCCTTTTCCAATTAAATTCCCATCTTATCACCTCACACCCATTAGGATAACCACTATCAAAAAAAACAGAAAATAAGTCCTGGCAAGGATGTAGAGAAACCACGACTCTTGTGTGCTGTTGCTGGGAGGCACAGATGTGAGACATGTCTATGGGCTCCCATGGGGGCGCCCAAAGAGGGAGAAGGCACTGGGATCTGGACAGGCTCCACCGCAGATAAGCCCCTGAACTGTGGCTAAAAGGTGAGGGCAGAACTCCAAGTCAGTGTAGATGAGGTCTGAGAGCAGGAGCCTGGTGGGGGCGGGCAGCCAAGCCGCATGGGGTCTGGGGCACAGGGAGGGCAGATCAGCCTCCTGGAGCAGCCTCATCCCAAGTTCAGGACTCAGCCTACTTATTCAGGACCAGAAAGATCCCCATCTGTACCAGATCATGCTTGTGAAGCAGGAAGCAAGGGAGTGCACTGATAAAGGCAAGGTGGTTACACGAGTGTCATCTGAGGAACTCAGGAAGGCTTCGAAGCTGGTAGCTGTGTGATTCTGAGCAAGTAACTTTGCATCTCTGAACCTCAGTTTCCTAATCTGTAAAACAGCAAAACCAGATGTTGGATAAAAAGCTGCATGATGTGGAGGCCTGGGTGGCTCAGTCGGTTAAGCATCTGCCTTAGGCTTAGGACATGATCTCAGGGTCCCGGGATCTGGCTCCCCACCCAGCAGGGAGTCTGTTCTCTTTCTCCCTCTGCTCCTCCCACCACCTGTGCTCTCTGTCTCTCTCTAGCTCTCAAATAAATAAATAAAATCTTAAAAACGACAAAAAAGTTGCACAAGACAGGTGTGTGTATGTGTTACACACGGGTTTCCCATCCCAACCTCACAGTTCAGGATGAGCCTGCCCAGTGCCAGGGTCTTTAGAAACCACAAGAGCATAAGTAAGAAGCAATCCCACTGCAAAGGCATCAGCCCAGCAGAGAACCAACCGCAGCGAAAAGATACACTTCTAGCACTTTCTACCAACAATGGAGAAAAGCAGATCCCTCTCATTTTTAAACCTGGAGGGAACATCACCAGACACAAACCAAAGAGAGAGGTTATCTGTCATGTTCCAAAGTGAAGGTGACTATAGGATTGTTAATGACAATGAGACCTCAAGGGAAAGACCCTGGCCAAATGGACAGAGTCATTAACAGCAGCCCTTTCGGTAAAAAAGAGCGAGGGCATTGCGTGTGGCGCAGGGAAGGGCCCAGACATGGACCCTGTCCTCCGCCCCTCGGCGCCATGGCTGGGGCTGCCATCACATCCTGCCAGTAGGATGGCGGTGGCGTTCTCAGCCTCAGCACGTGCTGCCTGTCTCTTCCAGCTCAGTGGACTGTTCCATCATCTCCCTGCTCAAAGCCCCTGGGAGGCTATCTCCAGAACTACAGGTACACCAGATGGGGGAATGAAGAAGGGGTTTTTAGTGACTTCAACCACTGGTTGCTCCTGGTATCACCTACTGGCTACTTATCCCCGAGAGAGTAGATGCGCTCCAGGGCACCTTCACCAAGTGGACAGCAGTCCAGAGCCAAGCCCAAGCCCCATTTCACACCCGGCCCTACCACCTTGGGACTCACCGCTTTGGTGGACTCTAAGGTTCCCGAGGCCAGTGCGTCCCGGCTGCCCCTGCCCTTGCTGCCAAGGTGGGGTGAGGAGGAGGGTGAGTCATCGATGTAGGGCAGCCCATCCTGGTGCCGGCGCTGTTCCTCAGCCCGGTCTGCAGCACAGCCATACCCAGGAGGTGTTCCAAACGATGCATCTGTGTGTGTAGAGAAGCAGTTGTGTTAGAGACAGGGAAAGGGGGCCAGAGGGTCAGGGGGCTGGGGGGCCAGCTGCCTGGGGGGGGTCCACACCCCTCTTGTTCCAGCAGGCACTCGGCTGATGATGTCTGTCACCCAAAGGTGTTGAACAAGGACCTTAGGCAGGTTGACCTCACCTTCACAACCAGCTGAGCAAAGACCACATGGCAAGGTGGGGCCAAAAAAGTGGCACGCTCCCCGGAAAATGAGACCGGGCTTGCAGGGACGCTTGTAGGAACACTGTCTGGGGCACATCTGTGCTTGTCCTGGAGGTGGGTCTGAGCCGTTACAGAAAGATGGACCCCCAATGCTAGCTAACATCTTGCTATCAGGGGTGGTCCTTGTGCACCTGTCCGTGGGGATCTGATGGGGCGAGGAGCACAGATCATGCTGATCCAGGCGCAAGCCCTGGCCACCGTGAGCAGTGCTCCAAGCCTGCCAGGCCCAACCCAGGGAAAGGGCACTGTAGCCCCTTCCCCTCACTCCACCCTGGTCCCTTGGCTGACTCTCAGCCCACTTCCCATCTGGTCTGGCAAAATCCCAGACCACCTTTACTTCGATATGAGCATCCCTGTGAGGACAGAGTGGCCTACCCTATGGCCGGCTCCCTGCTGTGTGGGGCTCTCTGGTTATACAGAACACCTTCAGGGGTGCCTGGGTGGCTCAGTGGGTTAAAGCCTCTGCCTTCAGCTCAGGTCATGATCTCAGGGTCCTGGGATCGAGCCCCGCATTGGGCTCTCTGCTCAGTGGGGAGCCTGCTTCCCACTCTCTCTCTCTCTCTCTACCTGCTTGTGATCTCTGTCAAATAAATAAATAAAATCTTAAAAAAAAAAAAAAAAAAAGAACACCTCCAATCCTAAAGGCAACTGAAGACAATTGTCCCTTCCTCCTCAGTTAAATCACAAAGTCCATACCACCCCTTCACCTGCTTTTCTTTTCTTTTTTCTCTTTTTTTTTAAGATTTCTCTTTATTTATTTGAGATAGAGAGTGAGAGAGAGCACGAGTGGCAGAGGGAGAGGGAGAAGCAGGCTCCCTACTGAGCAGGGAGCCTGACGCAGGGGATCAATCCCAGGACCCTGGCATCATGACCTGACCCAAAAGCAGACGCCTGATGACTGAGCCACCTGGGTGTCCTCACCTGCCTTTCTGTAGCTCTGTTTTCAAAACTGTTCTAAATCAGTGAATCCTCACCAAGACATTAACCCACAAGGGCCCCGTCTGCTCCAAGCCTCATGTGACAGTCACTTCTTAACTCTTTCTAAAGGGTGCCTTCACAGCCAATGGGACTTCCATGAGGCCATCTTGGTTGGGTTACATCACCTTTACCATGACTCACCGGCAACCAGCCCTGTCCAAAAGTCACCACCACAGGTGGCTTCTGCACTGTTTATTTACGAGTTTCTAACAACTTCTACCACCAAGCATACCTAGTCTGGGGCTCAAGCTCCAGGCGCTGGTGGCACCATACCACCTAGGCCAGGCGGCAGAGACCTCCTAGGCAACTCTAGAGGGGGACTGTTTCCAGTTCTTTCCATGTGGCAGACAAGAGGTGCTGTGGCTGGAGTGACCAGGTACTCACCACTCCAGCTCTGAGGGCTGCCAGTGCCCAGCTCAACTCATCCACCTACGTCCCAGCTGCCTCCACCTCTGCCTCTCCCGCATCCTCTATGTCTGGGACCCAGCAGGTCACATGCCCTCTCACAGGTGTCCTTAGCTCTGGCTATACATTCGTGCCATCTGGGGAGCTTCAAAAACAAGAGAGACCCATGGAATCAGACACTCAGGGAGGTCTGGGCCCTGGTGGCTGCAAAGGCTTCCTGGAGGTTCCCGCAGGAAGCAGGGCTAAGACTGCTGCACCAGCAGGAGATGGCATCCAGCATCGTGCTGTCCTGTTGACCCTGCTGTGCCCCTGCTGTCTCCATACAAGTGCAGACCGCAAAGGTCGGGCTGCGCTCTGCTGCTGTGTGTGTCCACAGAAGACCCCAGCACAGGCTAGCAAATAGGCTGGGGGACCCTCAGAGCTGGGTGGGCTCCTACCATGTCCCCTAACAAGCTATACTAACATCCCCTGGTCTCCCTAATCCCTGGGCTACTTCATGGGCTCCTAATACGATCACCACGTGTTACCCTGCTGGGGTTTGTACTGTCCTACCAGGACAGTCAGAGGCCAAAGCCAGGTACTGTCTCCTCCTCCTAAGCATCTGTAAAGGCACTTAACTAGCTCTTGCCCAGCATCCCTGAGGACAGAAGGGAAGGGTTCAAATGTATTAAAAAGCACACACCCTGTTCATACAGAACCCTAGCGTCACACCCCACCCCCAAAACAAGTTTGACTTCAGCTTCTACTTCCTTTTGGAGGAATCACAGATTTTTTTAACCAAAATGAACACAGAGGACTTCCTGTCCTCTCAACATCCATGATACAAACCTTCTATCAGAGCAGCCCCTACTGAAACCTTGCCCTTCATGGGAGCTGCTTCCCAAGGCTGTCCAGGTCCTGGACAGAAGACTCTGGCTGCCAGACGCCTTCCTCACAGGTATCCTGAATGACCCCCTGGGCTGCAGGGGTCTTTACTCTTAGTCCTGCAACCCAGGACACATCCTCAGGGTTGGGGTGGGGACAGGTAGATCAATTCTGTGAGCTGTGGTGTGCATTTCCCAGAAGGGAGGCTCTGGTCCTGTCCAGGTTGCTACCAACTTGTGAGAATTAGTGCAGGTCACTGAAACTGTCCGTGTCTCCGTTTTCCTGACTTTATAATCGGGCATATGGACTAAACTAGATGGATGGAGGCCAGCTCTGCTCTAAATCATTAGGTCCTGGGGCGCCTGAGTGGCTTAGAGGGTTAAGCCTCTGCCTTCAGCTCAGGTCATAAATCTCAGGGTCCTGGGATCGAGTCCCACATCGGGCTCTCTGCTCAACAGAGAGCCTGCTTCATCCTCTTTCTCTGCCTACTTGTGATCTCTCTCTCTGTGTCAAATAAATAAATAAAATCTTAAAAAAAAAAAAAAAAGTTAGGTCACTGTCCAGATCATCTAGCCATGCCCTGCCTACCTCCTGACCTCACCTCCTTCAACAGCATCCTTCCTCTGCTCCCAGCTCCTCCTCTGGACCTGGTTTTTATATTAGCTCAGAATTTTCACTGTCCACATAGCTTCTCTAAGAAACTTTAAACTATTTTTTTTTTTGAAATAACAATGCTTTAAGAAATCAACATATTCATCACCTGGAAGAAGACCCTTATTCTGAGCATCACCACCTGATGTCCTGGCCTATGACCACACTGCACTCATGCCCCAGGTCACATTAACACCAAATGATGCCCCAAGTAAGAACTTGAGGGTCAGACCCAAGTAAGAACTTGAGGGTGAGACTTGGGGGGGCCCAGGGCTCCCTCTAAATACTCCAAGAGTCCACATGTGCAAAACAAAGGGCTAGCTTAGCAACAACCTGATTAAAACCCCACGTAAAACCAAGTGGCTGGTGAAGGTTTGCCCAAAGGCCAGGGTTGTGTGGGGCCATTGACTCTGATGTGGATACCTCACCTCCACCAGGTGAGACTGAGGGAAACCAGGTTCCACAGCTAACTCAACAGGGTAATTATGAGGATCAGGGCAATTCAAAACCCAGCTGCTTCCCACTCGGACGCATCTTCACAAACTGATGTCCGAGGAAATAACGCTTTTAAGTCTGGAGTCCAGACAGCTGATCACTGCTGGGTACATTCCATGGGAGGCTTCAGCCCACTGTCCCAGCTAATCCAGAACCCCCAGCCTGCTTCAATGTCAATGTGACAGGCAAGGAGGAAAGCCCCCCTTTCCTCATCCCTCATCCTAAGTGCATGCAGGGACCAGTCTTCCTCTCACACCACAGTTTTTCACTACCTCCTGGAATGAAGTATATTCCTGGGGGGGCGCGGGCTTTGGGAACTACCATTTCCCAAGAACTAGAGCAAAGTGGGAGCAGGGGCTTTGCTCTCCCCTCTTCTACCAGGAATATCTACTGGGAAAACCTCTCGGCGTCTCATTACCTCGAAGGACTGGGCACATGATGGCTGAGGTAAGCCTAGTTCTACCCAAAGCTGAAGGCAAATACTGATTTCAGCGGGGGAGGGCCTGCGATCTGACAGCTACAAGAGGCTCAGGAAATGAGGCTGATCTCTGGAGCAGCTAACCAGCAGGGAGGAGGGCAGGGTGGGGGCAGGGAGAGAGGCCCATTCAGAGCTGGCAGACAGCGGCTGGCTTAGCATGGAAAAGGGACGTGCAAAGTGAAATCCAAAACCTCCTCCTCTCCAGGCCAGTCGGCTTAGCAGCCACAATCCCAGCACTCTGCAAATCTAAAATCTAGTCTTTGATGCGAGGAAAAAAGGCAGCCACCCCCACCCCTGTCAAGTGGGAGGAATAAGTCCCAGTCAGCCCAGACCACATCCCCTTCTCACACCTCAAGGACAACACTGGTTAAAAAAAAAATTCCTGGGGCACCTGGGTGGCTCAGTGGGTTAAATAAGGCCTCTGCCTTCGGCTCAGGTCATGATCTCAGGGTCCTGGGATAGAGTCCCGAATCGGGGTCTCTGCTCAGCAGAGAGCCTGCTTCCTCCTCTCTCTCTCTCCTGCCTGCCTCTCTGCCTACTTGTAAAATAAATAAAACATTAAAAAAAAAAAATTCCTCAGGTGCCTGGGTGGCTCAGTTTGTTGGGCATCTGCCTTTGGCTCAGGTCATGATCCCAGGGTCCTGGGATGGAGTCTCGAAGTGGGCTCCCTGCTCAGTGGGGAGCCTGCTTCTCCCTCCCCCCCTTTGCCCCTCCCCTAGCTCATGCTCAGTCATTTGCATTCTCCTTCTCAAGTATAAATATTTTTTTAAAAAAATCCCTTAAAAAATTAAATGCAGAATTACTGTATGATCAAGTAATTCCATGTCTGGGTATATACTTAAAAGAACTGAGAGCAGGAATTCAAATAGGT